AGCGGAATGGAGAAAATAGTACATTTTGAATTTATGATTTTATTGGCTCATCCCAACGTGATAGCCAAATATTTACTCCAGATGGTACCATAGTGTTTGTGACATCCACTTTGAACTACAATTTGGTTGTGTGTCAAGTAGGCTAGACCATCATTTGCAGCATCAGAGCTTAGAAAAGGTTAAAAGTTCAAGACATGTCCCAAGTGATTAAGAGTGTAAAAGTTAGAGCTATACCCTGGGAAATAATGTCTTTTCAGAAGAAAACATGATTACACATTTTGTCTCAAAACAGTGTAAAAATAACAATACTAAATTATCATCTTCCTTTTGAACTCTAGAATCCAGAAGTTTCAGTTCTCTGGAGGAAAAAAAGAGGTGATAAAAACTGTTTAACCTTCAGTGATTTCCAAAAGCTGAATACTGAGCAAATATTTTTTTCTTTATCATGATATTCATTTTAAAATATACTTGAAGTTATCTGTAATTTAAAACCAATTATATTCAATAGATAATAGTTATTTATAACTATTACACGGGTCACCTGTTCACTTCTAGTGACTATTGTTTAATGTTCAGTCACACTGGTCAGAAGCTCTGAGACTTACAATGGACATACATGACATATAAGTCCCCTTCACTAAAGATACCCTCAGTTCAACAACAAGCCATTGATTTCAATAGAGGCAATGTGTACAGAAGAGGAGAATAAAAACAAATTGTGTCACACCAGACATCAGTCAGGATAATCATAGTGATACTTACTACTTTTAGGTCCCAAAATCTACATGTGTTGGATCTATCGCCATATAATTAATTAGAACCATAGGCTTGTAGAAGTGAAAAATTTGGTGACTATATCAGAGTCTAGACTCCATTTCAAAAGTGTTCTGAAAAAGAAGGATTAGCTGTCTCTCAGCCATTTTTCCCAGGTAAAAAGCTGATTAGCTGAAGGGAGGCTCACCTGACTCCTCCATTTACAAACTCAAATATATGATCCTCTGGCTCTGCTCTACAGCGCTCTCACCTTAGTTGTGGGGGTTTGGTTTTGTTCTTTATTTTTTGTTAATATATGCTCTTTAAATAGTTTATTAATGCTATCTTGCTCTTATTTTTGAAATAACATCTTATTGCTACTTTGGTATAAAAAGCATAACTGATGAATAAAGATATATATTTCTTATCTTAGTAATATGCTTGAAACAGAAAATTTCACAAGGATCTTTAATGTATAGGCTTTGTGAATGCTCACAAGTGCACTAATTCAACAGACAATAACATTGCCAAGAGAGTCATGGTTTATTGTGTCAACGATCCTTGAACTAAGAAGCCGTTAAGTAGGCCTTGACATGATCGCTCATAAATAGCCCCTTCATAACTTGTGTACAAAGAAATCTTGTAAGTAGGCCTTGAAAGCATAAACTGAAACCGCTCCTTCTTTATTCTCTCAATAACCTGTAAACTAAGGAAAATTAAAATCTACACATTAGAATCCACAAATAGATTTAGAAAAATTTGAGGCCAGTTTTCTATAAGCATAGAAGTTGGTGACAATACAGGGACCTAAACAATTTGGTGGAATATTTCTTTTTGGATTCCAGTGCTCTAGAGCAGCTCAAAATTAGAATTTAAAACACCTCTTTATTTTTAACTATTTTTATTTAAAACTTCCTTTGGAAAATGAGCATGCTAAATCAAAGGCTACCAACTCTCACATTTTAGTCCTAAAGCCGTCTTTTGAAAAATCTGAGGTACAGCTGCCTTGGGTAGAGCCTAACAGACCCACAAGTGTCCCTGAGGTTGTGAAAGCCACAACTTGAAGAAATCATAAAAGTTTTGGATAATTATAGGGGAGAATGAATACTCATATGAGTAATACTGAAACTAAAAGAGAAACATGGGAGAGGGGGAATGAAGTGGATGGAACAGATCTGTCTGGGACGGATCTGTCTGAATCACTATCCCAAACACAAATATCTCCCAAATGGTCATCTGAAGAAGTGGGCTGTGCCCACGAAAGCTCACGATACCATCTACATGTTTTGTTAGTCTTTAAAGTTCTACCAGATTATTTGTTGTTTTTAAGTTTATCCCAAATGTGGGAAAGTTTAGATGTAGATTTGAATCTCAACTTAAATTTCATGGCTGGCCATGTAAATATAGGACTAAATCAGGTCAGACTAACCTTAAGTTTATGATTCAAGCCCATGTCATTAATAGACTACCTCAAGATGAAAGTGAAGATGAACTCTACAAAAGTACTGACGGATGTGATAAAGGTTGCCTTTGCTTATGAAACTAAAGAGCAATACTGTACTTTGAAAACATTTGCATTGCAAAGCAGAAAAGGCACCCCTGATTTTACATTTCTAAATACATGGATTTCTCTCATACTCAGACTTGACTCCAAAGACCACCCTATTATTTGTAGAAAGTGATTACATTGTACCCCATTGTGAACTCTGACAAGAATATGGACAACAGAAAGACTATGATCTTAGCAGATTTAAGGATCTGAGCTCATGTCTTGAGCGCTCAATTATAATGTTGCAAAAAATAAATCTGTTATTCGTTGCTTACAGGTCTATATGAAATATAGGTATTACAGTGCCTCTATCTATACTATGTTGACTGGCACCATAAAAATACTTACGACAGAAAGCATATTAATAACCCCTAATAAGCAAACAAAGACCAATGCATCTCTGTTCTTGATGATGTATATTTCCCAATATGTGTGCCTTATAATATAAACAAAAAAGGAAATACATATCCAGTGAAGCTAGAGATATAATTCAAATAAGACAGAAATATACAGAGTTATTTTACAATTTTAAGAAAAAGGATGGTGTCATCTAAACATACTGTATCTGGTTTTGGGATATTGTTTTCTATTTATATTATTTCACTATGATACAAATTACACATACCATCTTCTTTATCTGTATTAGGTAATCATTAAAGAATGATGCAACCAACTTCTGAAATGTAAAGTGAAAAATCTTTTTAGATATTCTTCTGAATTATGTGACATATGAGGGAAGCTGATAATCCTATTAGACTTATTTAGGCATTGAAGACATTCTAACAAAGAAATTGTACCACAGCCCTTCACTACTCTACATATCCAAAGACAAGGATTTGTGAACCTTTTTAACCTTACATGTTTATTAAGGCATAATCTTTATTGTAATGTAAATGGATTTTTACACACTATAGTACTGATGGCAAACTTACATGGTGTGTTTTTTGTAATTTTAATCCTTTTTTTTTTTTTTTAATTACAGAAATTTGAATTCTTATTGCAGAAGACCAAGAAAGAACTATAGGCTAAATTCATCGAAGTTAAACCACCACCCAAATTCTACTGAGGAAGGAGGTGACATTCAGCAATAGTAATATCTTACAGCATAAATTAGTACAAGTGACATCTCTATCCTTATCTGTTCCTTGCAGATATTTAGTCATAGTGGTTGAACCTCTCTAGTCCAGCACCCTTGGGACCTGACTGGTAACGAACCAGAGAATTTGCCAGACCACAAGAGGTCAATATTGTCTAGTAGGATTACCACCACTTCCACTGCTGACTTGACTCTTAGAAGACATTTAGGGGTAAATTAGGGTAAATAGCAGCACAGAAAACTGAGAGCCAGAACTGTGGGCTGTAAACAAACTTTATGTTGCCACAAGAAACTTGTCAACTAATCATGGATATGAGCATCTGGCTAACTAAAATCACACCGGACCCGAAAGTGCCAGACGTTCAACCTGTATTTGTTACTAAAGTAAACAGATACAAGTTATAAATGGTGTTTTACTCCTCTTAACAGATGGAATTAACAAAGCTAAGAGAAAGAGTTGAATTCCTTTCAATTAACACAGCTGTTCACTGAATCCCCATTTATTACACCAGTGTTTGCCTACTGACAATAATAGGGTTGCATAGACATCACTAATAGCATGAAACGGCTTTATTAATGAGTTACCACAAGAATAGGTAGAATAAATCCTTCTTTTACTACATACCTGCAGCTTTTATTAGTGTTAATGGAAATTATCAGCAACTAAAGAAAATACGCATGTTAGTTTTATCAATAAATTAAAATGACAAATATTTCTAAGAGATTATTTACTGTTATTTTAGATGGGTTAGTCAAGAAGAACCAATCATTGTCAAAACTGCCTTCTAGTCACTGCTTCCTTACAGTTGAACAGCAGTGTTGGAAAAAAAATCTCAAAGTTTTCATTCAATTACAAGTAGCCTCAGAATATGATTGAGAACTTTAGTTAATCAATGCTTTATCAACACCCTTATAAAAGGCATAAGGCAAGAAATTAACATTTTAGATTTCCACAAGCTCAGTTTCAGATGACTATTTAAATTTGCTAAACTGCGACGACGGAGAAAGCCAAATTCCTTAAGGAATACCAGGTGTCAGTTCAGAAAATTATTCTGAGAAAGCAGAGGACATAGAAAGAGGGATTAGGTTTTCAGAGAAATACTGGAATATCTCAATAGGGAAAAAAATGTGTAGGGATTTTTCTTGATTGCCAACAACCCCAGATAAGTGAACATACAAATGAGTCACAAGGTCTACACAAGTTGGTTTTAGAAGCGAGGAAGTGTTCAGCTAATAGCATTTAAAGTGTCTCCATTTTCAGTCACTTTAACCAATGTACAGGGCGAGAAGAGAGTTTTGTGGTGAGAAATTGTAGACTAAAAATGATCATTTAGGTTGTGAAATGTTTCTTCCCCCTCCCCCCCCCATTGAAAGTAAAGGGCTTTTAAAAGCAGAAGTGAAGTTGCTGGGGGCACTTGGCAGCTTTGTCCTCACTAGCTATTTCACAAGCTATAATCTGTCTCTCTTTCAGGATGCTAATCTTGCGCAATTTTGTTGTTCAAAAACAGTTTTAACACAAGACGGGAACTCGCTTGGAAGTGTCTAGCCCTCAAGTGCATAACCAAGCCCTGGAAGAGGCGGAGAGCGAGCGCCTACCCTCACCTTGAACATCTGACTCTCTGGGCAGCCAGAAGCAGCCCAGCAACGTGGTACAGTTTATAGCCAGGGCGACGCCACCCATCGCGATGAATTCCCAGCTGCTCACACAGCCATGGCAACGACGGGAACTCGCTTGGAAGTGTCTAGCCCTCAAGTGCATAACCAAGCCCTGGAAGAGGCGGAGAGCGAGCGCCTACCCTCACCTTGAACATCTGACTCTCTGGGCAGCCAGAAGCAGCCCAGCAACGTGGTACAGTTTATAGCCAGGGCGACGCCACCCATCGCGATGAATTCCCAGCTGCTCACACAGCCATGGCAACGG